AAATATTTCTATTGAAAAATTGAACGGTAACATTATTTTACATAGAAGTATTATGTAATACAACAAAAATTACAACGCACTATGAAGTTTTTGTATCATTAGACGAAACTATCCTTGAAAAAAATATATATTGCGAAATGTTCATATGTGGTAGCTGTGGTTTATATTGAATTTTCTTAAGAGAGATTGTATAGGTAGTTTTTTCGTTCATTATAAATTAAAAATCTGGGAAAAAAAATATAAATAATAGTTCTAAACAACAACTATAGAAGAACATATGATGGTAATAATCTAAGTCATTGTTGCATTATAGAAAGCAAGGTTTTTCCGATTTATATATCGTAGATATATTGAGTTATATAAAACTAGATATATATGAACAAATTCTAAAGAAAAAAAATATTTTGACTAAACATATCTAAAATAAATGGTCTATTGTCAAAAGGTACTTTTTAACAGGAATGAATGTGAAAGAACTTAAGTTCGATCGTTTTTTAACATTGTCCAATCTTATTTATGTTACAGTAGTGACATCCATATGGAAATGAAATCTTTCTTTTGATTTCAAATCTTCATAATTATGTCAAATAACTGTGTAGAAATTATACTTTGATTCTCAATTTGATAAAATCTGAAAATTTCCTTGAATTAAAGCATAATTCATAATCAATTATCGAAATCGGCGATTAAACGCGATTTTATCGCTCCGATTTATCTCTGATTTTCAAAAATCGGTTCTTCTCTTATAATCGTGATTTACAGCTAAATTTTCGATAAATCGCCAAAATCGCGGCGATTTTCACGACATGAGTTTCTTTCAACGGCAACCCTCATTGACATATCGCGATACCAATTGAGCAGCAGGCTCCTTGCTAAAAAATCTAAAAAGCCCAAGAACAACGAACGAATATTCTATTCTTTAAAAAATCGTTGAGAAACAGAGTAAAAAAGGATCGACCGAATCTTCAAGTGGAAATATGTAATGAATGCTAATGAAACGGACGTGATCATGTTAGATAAAACTGATCATTAACTCAAATAAGCTCCGCGGGTACAAAAGTAAAAAAATTGTAATTCAGATAACAGAGTCAAATGTTGAAGACAATTGTTGTAGTTTGAATAGTTTTCGAATAAGTTCTAGAGGAGGACTCCGGATGGGATGGAATGAGTTTCGCTTCCCATGGGACATATGATGATTTTTTAAGAAAAAGATTATCATATATAGATGGCACATTTGACAATGTGGCTTACTTCTGAGGGATGATAGGAGAACCTCGGCGAAGCTATCCCTTTTACCCCGTCGGTCATTACTTTTCATTGAAAAAACAGGACATTTTTCAGGAGTTTTTTCTGGAAAGTCTTTTTATTGTAGGGAGGTCCACAATGGTCTGAGAAAAAAATTGATCTTCAATAGAATTTTGCTGTGGTGTGACGCATCCCATGGGATAGAATTTTTTTCGATGAAATTTATAGGATGGGATGGAACGGATTTCGTTAGTTCATGGGATAAAAAGTTCGTCTCATTTCATCCCATCCGAAGCCGTGTTCTAGAGTGTTTCAGTAGTTGTTGATGTACAATCTCAGGAAGAATGTTTTGGTATGATAAATTTTCATAATAAGAAAACAAAGATAGTTTAATCTTGAACACTATGATTATATGACAGAAAGAACTGATATTTGTAATCACTTCAAGATATCTGAGAAATTCCTACATGTTAGTATTTTTTACTCGTGTGCTGAAGTTATTACGCTTGAAATAAAATTTTCGGCTAATTATAGTATCAATGACTTTTCATTGGTTCAGTTTTCATTGATTCGCCGCGTGGATGAAATTTCAATCTTTGAAATATCAGTTAAACCCATGTTCTCGTGATCATTTATACTGAACTTTGATGAGTAATTGTGTTTTATAGAGTCTACATTCTAGTGTAATTTTTGTTTAGTAATAAAATAATGCTCGTTTCATATATATGAATAAATCAAATATAGAAAAAGGTGGCTAGAACGAGAAAAGAGAAAAATAAATAGTTTGTTCAGAAACGAACATGAAAACATAACAAGTAAGTGATATATTGGAAAAAAAATAATATCTTTGATACTGCAGTAGTGAGAGTTGAATCGACTCGAATTCAAATTCATTATTCTAAAAATTAAGCGAATCGAATAGATTCAAATGAATAGAGATTCATTTATTCTTTTTGTTTGCTGGATTACAAAGCAACAGAAAAAAACCAGAAGAGATCGAAGTATATTCAAGCAAAGATTAGCAAGTAAGAACAAAAAGATAAAGTATCTGTTTCTTAGAAAAGAAAAATAAAATAAAACACCAATAAATATCTTTGAGTTCCATGCTGACTGACAGACCTCATTATTCTGTTTGGTACACACGCTCTCAGTAATAGTTGAGTTCGAAAAAGTGGACGAGAAAAGACCGAACACAACTTGTTTGCTACGAAAAAATGATTGAACTAGAGGCTATCGATATGTAATTGACACTAAGTAAATTTGCGTACTAATATCACTATCACTTAAACCTGATCAATAACTTAAATAAGTTACACAACATGACACGACATGGGCTACCCGATTGGAACTTTAATTCTTTTTTGAAGGAGGATTTTTCCTCTAAGAAAACAAAAAATCTGATTTTAGTCGACTTTTTTCTCAACTAAAAAATTAATTAAAGTGGTTATAATTGAATACTATAAAAAATATATTTTTTCAACTTTGAAGATAGATTTCCTTTGATTTTAATCTTTGTTAATCAATTTTTACAGAATAGTTTCAATCGATAGAACTCTATGAATTGATCACAAAAGACTAAAATCAATGCAGATCTATTCTTCAAGCGAAAAAAATAGATTGCAATCAGAATTAAATAGCACCATTGTCATCAATTTTCACTCAGAGAATAATCGACTCTTGTGATTTTTCGTTAAAAAAAGTTCTTACATGGATTTTGCAGCTCGCTATTGACAACCACCAAAATCTTTATTGTGTGAACGTTTTGAAAGTTTCATTTAGGCAATAAATCGAATTAGAGCATTTATTTGGTTCAATATCATCGCTCATATACACACAAGACCGAATACACTGTCAACTACATTAAGTGGCATGGGTTTCACTGAAGTGGAACAGCGTTAATTGTTTACTAAAATCAACAGTGTAACTAAAACTAGTAACCAATCTAACTCTTGGATATTGTTCAGCAGACATTTGACTCGTGAAAATTTATGTTGATAAATGATAGTCTTCAAAATATTAGAATATCCAGGAATACATCTTGTTCTTTTCATTCAATAAGTAATTAGACTTGTCTCTCATATAGTTTTTTCAAGCATTGCCATTGTTCGACCTTATTCAGCTCGTAATTACTATGATAGTAAACTTTTTACAATGTTCTAATCTAATGACTTGAGTGACTAGTAGCCTGATTTCGACGCTTGTTACACAAATAAAAAAGCAAAGAATAGCAGTTGAGAAGTTATCCTCATGCCTGCTGATACTTTTTATAAAAACAAGTGCTCGTTGCCAATGTATAATAAAATGACGCAGACATATTCTATAATTCAAATATTCTTTAATAGGTTCAAAACTTTTTCGATAGCTGTTTATTTAGTCTCATAACAATGTTTTGGTATGATGAGTTTTGCTGATTGACAACGATATTATAATTTATAACGCTCTAATGATATGAGAGAGACAACGTCTATTGTTAATAATTAATCTTGAGATTCTTAAGTAATTCCTGCTTATTATTTCTTTCAGATTTGTTGAATGTTCTCTTTCAAATAAAATTCTTTTGTGACTGAAAGAAACTGTTATACTTTTATAATAAAGT